CAGCACCCACCTCTCATCATCCTCAGCAGCAGCAGCAGCAGCAGCAGCAGCAGCAGCAGCAGCAGCAGCAGCAGAAGCAGCAGCAGCAGCAGGNAGCAGCAGCAGCAGCAGCAGCAGCAGCAGCAGCAGCAGCAGCAGCAGCAGAAGCAGCAGCAGCAGCAGGATCACCAGAATCATCAGCATATATAACAGCAGCAACACCACCATCCTCATCATGCTATACAGCAGCAGCAGCACCACCACCACCAGCAGCAGCAGCAGCAGGAAGAGAATCACCATCCCCATCCCCATCAGCAGCAGCAGCAGCAGCAGCAGCAGCAGGAGCAGGAGGAGGAAGCAGAAAACTATATAAAATAATATATAAGAGTATAGAGGAGTATTTATGTTTATCTTATATTCCCCTAGTCCCCTATATATGTATAAGTTTATTAACATGTATATTTTTTATATCTTCTTATAATCGTCTCCTCCCAGCAGCAAACAAACTTATACAGCTGCTGCAACCTGTCTCCTTTTTACCTTGTCCTGTGTGGGGTATAATAGGAGACAGATATGGTGTTATATGTATGATGTTTTTAGTGAATGCATGCGCTTTTCTCTCTTATATATTTGCTGCTGTCCCCTCAATACCAGCAGCAGCAGTGCTGCAGTTTGCTGCTGCTGTCTGCTTCCTGCTGCACTTGTCTTTTCTTATGAGTCAATTATACTGCTACGCTGCAGCAGCACTTCAGCAGCAGCATATAGGGAGAATGTTAGGATTTGCTGCTGCTGCTGCTGGGCTTGTCTCTCTTCTTGCTGCTCCTATGCATGCGCATGCACTGCAGCACGGGTTCCTCCCGATGCTGCTGCTAGCTATTTCTCTATCAGCAGCAAACAATATCTTCCTGCTGCTCCTTGCTGCAGCAAACAAAAAAAAAAATAAAAACAAAAACACAAACATAACACAGACACATACGGACTTAGAGGCGCAGCAGCACAAGCAGATCACTGACGATGAACAGCAGCAGCAGCAGCAGCAGCAGCAGCAGCAGCAGCAGCAGCAGCAGGAGAAGGAGGAGCTCCAAGACAAACAGCCGCAGGTCCTGCTGCACGCGCAACAGCCATAGGCAAGCTGCCAGCAGCAGCAGCTGCAGCAGCAGCAACTGCAGCAGCACCAACTGCAGCAGCAGCAACTGCAGCAGCAGCAACTGCAGCAGCAGCAACTGCAGCAGCAACGCCTCAAAGATAAAGCGCAGCAGCAGAANTGCAGCAGCAGCAACTGCAGCAGCAGCAACTGCAGCAGCAACGCCTCAAAGATAAAGCGCAGCAGCAGAAAGTGCTGCAGCAACAATGACTTCTAACAGCAGAAAAAGATGAACTCCTTTATTGGTTATCTTGGCGCCAGCAGCAGCAGCAGCAGTCGCTGCTGCTGCTGCTGCAGCAGCAGCTGCTGCTGCAGCTGCTGCTGCAGCTCCGCATCATTGTGTATATACACCCTGTTGCAGTGCAGCAGCCAGAGTAGTAACAACAGCAGCAGCAACAGTATCTGCTGCTGCTAGCTGCAGCTATCTCTGCAGCAAACAGACCCCATGCCTCCATTTTTTCGTACTAGTGGCGGCCTGCTGCTGCTGCTGCTGCTGCTGCTGCTGCTGCTGCTGCTGCTGCAACAGCAGCAACAGCAGCAGCAGCTTTTGCTTGCCTGCTCCCCCATGCAGACTGCAAGGGGACAGAAGAGCTCTTGTCATTGTTGAATCTAATTTTTAAGTATATCTTCTGCTACTTTTATTTCTGTTGTTGCTGCTGCTGCTGCTGCTGTTGCTGCTGCTGCTGCTGCTGTTGCTGCTGCTGCGCCCTAGTCTTTGTTGATGCACTGGTGCGGGGGTGAGCAAAGAAGTAAGGGACTGTGTCTCCTGTCTCCTTCTTTAGTATTACAGCAGCAAAACATCAGACAGATTCTTCTAGCAGCAGCAGCAGCAGCAGCAGCAGCAGCAAGTTTATTTACAGCAGCAACAGCAGCAGCAGCAGCAGTAGCAGCAGCAGTAGCAGCAGCAGACAGGGCAAAGCAGCGGAGCCAAATGGCATTTAGTTTGTCTGCTGGAAAAAGCTGAAGAGTCTCCTTTTAGGTGTCTCCTTTTCACCATAGAGACAGAAGGAGACAGCAGCAGCTGCAGCAGCAGCAGCAGCAGCAGCAGCAGCAGCAAAAGATACACTTAAAGGCTGTAGCCTCTTTCCCTCTAGGCCTCAAGGGCCAGCACTAGCAGCAACTGCAGCCATTGCTGCTGCGGCTGCTGCTGCTGTTTTTGCTGCTGCTGCAGTCATCGATGCTGCAGCAGCAGCTGCTGCTGTTGCTGCTGCTGCTGCTGCTGCAACAGCTGCTGCTGTTGCTGCTGCTGATGCTGCTGCAACAGCTGCTGCTGTTGTGCTGTTAATGTGTCCCTGTGCCTTGATCCTCGGTTGCTGCTGTTGCTGCTGCTGCAGTTTTTTCTGCTGCAGCAGCTGCTGCTCCCACAGCAGCAGCAGC